TCGGGTTGGAGGTGGTGGTGGAGATGGAGGTGGTGGAACTGTTACACTGGAGGATGGAGGAGATGTTTGAAGGACAGGAGTCCAGGGTCCAGAGGGGAAGCGACGGAAAACTGAGACACAGAAACAGGAGGATTTACTGCTGTGGAAAACAAAGCTTTACACATCGTCTGAAACTGGAACTTCCAGTTAATACATGTGTGTACATGTGTGTACATGTGTGTACATGTGTGTACATGTGTGTACATGTGTGTGTGTACATGTGTGTGTGTACATGTGTGTACATGTGTGTACATGTGTGTACATGTGTGTACATGTGTGTGTACATGTGTGTGTACATGTGTGTACATGTGTGTACATGTGTGTGTACATGTGTGTACATGTGTGTACATGTGTGTGTGTGTACATGTGTGTACATGTGTGTGTACATGTGTGTACATGTGTGTACACATGTGTGTGTACATGTGTGTACATGTGTGTACATGTGTGTGTACATGTGTGTACATGTGTGTGTACATGTGTGTACATGTGTGTACATGTGTGTACATGTGTGTACATGTGTGTGTACATGTGTGTACATGTGTGTACATGTGTGTGTGTGTGTACATGTGTGTACAGTGTGTGTGTGTACATGTGTGTGTGTGTGTACATGTGTGTACATGTGTGTACATGTGTGTGTGTGTGTACATGTGTGTGTGTGTACATGTGTGTGTACATGTGTGTACATGTGTGTGTGTGTGTACATGTGTGTACATGTGTGTGTGTGTACATGTGTGTGTACATGTGTGTACATGTGTGTGTACATGTGTGTACATGTGTGTACATGTGTGTACATGTGTGTGTACATGTGTGTGTGTGTGTACATGTGTGTGTGTGTACATGTGTGTGTACATGTGTGTACATGTGTGTACATGTGTGTGTACATGTGTGTGTACATGTGTGTACATGTGTGTACATGTGTGTACATGTGTGTACATGTGTGTACATGTGTGTACATGTGTGTACATGTGTGTACATGTGTGTGTACATGTGTGTACATGTGTGTACATGTGTGTACATGTGTGTACATGTGTGTACATGTGTGTGTACATGTGTGTACATGTGTGTACATGTGTGTACATGTGTGTGTACATGTGTGTGTACATGTGTGTACATGTGTGTACATGTGTGTGTACATGTGTGTACATGTGTGTGTACATGTGTGTACATGTGTGTGTACATGTGTGTGTACATGTGTGTGTACATGTGTGTACATGTGTGTACATGTGTGTACATGTGTGTACATGTGTGTACATGTGTGTGTGTGTGTACATGTGTGTACATGTGTGTACATGTGTGTGTGTGTACAGTGTGTGTGTGTACATGTGTGTACATGTGTGTGTACATGTGTGTGTACATGTGTGTACATGTGTGTACATGTGTGTGTGTGTACATGTGTGTGTACATGTGTGTACATGTGTGTACATGTGTACATGTGTGTACATGTGTGTGTACATGTGTGTACATGTGTGTGTACATGTGTGTACATGTGTGTGTACATGTGTGTACATGTGTGTACATGTGTGTACATGTGTGTGTACATGTGTGTACATGTGTGTACATGTGTGTGTACATGTGTGTACATGTGTGTGTACATGTGTGTGTACATGTGTGTGTACATGTGTGTACATGTGTGTGTACATGTGTGTACATGTGTGTACATGTGTGTACATGTGTGTGTGTGTGTACATGTGTGTACATGTGTGTGTACATGTGTGTGTACATGTGTGTACATGTGTGTGTACATGTGTGTGTGTGTACATGTGTGTGTGTGTACATGTGTGTACATGTGTGTACATGTGTGTGTACATGTGTGTACATGTGTGTGTACATGTGTGTGTGTGTACATGTGTGTACATGTGTGTACATGTGTGTGTACATGTGTGTACATGTGTGTGTACATGTGTGTGTGTGTACATGTGTGTACATGTGTGTACATGTGTGTACATGTGTGTGTACATGTGTGTGTACATGTGTGTGTACATGTGTGTACATGTGTGTGTGTGTACATGTGTGTGTACATGTGTGTACATGTGTGTACATGTGTGTGTGTGTGTACATGTGTGTACATGTGTGTGTGTGTACATGTGTGTGTACATGTGTGTACATGTGTGTACATGTGTGTGTACATGTGTGTACATGTGTGTACATGTGTGTGTGTGTGTACATGTGTGTACATGTGTGTACATGTGTGTGTACATGTGTGTGTACATGTGTGTGTACATGTGTGTACATGTGTGTGTACATGTGTGTGTACATGTGTGTACATGTGTGTGTGTGTACATGTGTGTGTGTGTGTACATGTGTGTGTGTGTGTACATGTGTGTACATGTGTGTACATGTGTGTACATGTGTGTGTACATGTGTGTGTGTGTACATGTGTGTACATGTGTGTACATGTGTGTGTGTGTACATGTGTGTGTACATGTGTGTACATATGTGTACATGTGTGTACATGTGTGTGTACATGTGTGTACATGTGTGTTTACATGTGTGTGTACATGTGTGTGTACATGTGTGTACATGTGTGTACATGTGTGTGTACATGTGTGTGTACATGTGTGTATGTGTGTGTACATGTGTGTGTACATGTGTGTACATGTGTGTACATGTCTGTACATGTGTGTGTAAGTGTGTGCGTAAGTATGTGTGTAAATGTGTGTGTAAGTGTGTGTGTAAACTGTATAACAACTCAGCCTTATGTCACAGATAATACTCCCTACACTCTAAGCCCCTCCCACCTCGTGTTGAAGGCGCTGATGTCCAGGGCGGCGCCGCAGCGTCTCCGGGAGCACACGGCGTCGGCGGCGTTTCGGTTCCAGGCGCCGGACGACGAGAGCCAGAACATCTGAGAGGACGACACCATCACCTGACCCGAGCAGAACCCTCCGACCAGGAGAACCTCCTGATGACCTGCACTCACACACGCCCAGATGCCCTCCCGTTACTCCTGATGCCCTCCCGTTACTCCTGATGCCCTCCCGTTACTCCTGATGCCCTCCCGTTACTCCTGATGCCCTCCCGTTACTCCTGATGAAATACTGAAATATAAATATTTCGCATTGTTTAATGTGATGATACAGGATTGATATCGTGGGCTGCTGTATCGATATCGATCAGTCGCCAAGAGTATTTTTAGTAAATTTTTTTAATAATTATTTTGTGACAGGTTCAGTTTTGTCAAAGTGAAATTCAGATTTTTGTCAAGTTCTTCACATTGACTAAACACAGAGGAATCCAAGTGAGGGCTGAAGTTTTGTTGCTTGTTTAGAGAAAGGAAACTTGTTTATTGTTTCCTCGTCCAGAGAAGTGGACAGGGTCTGACAGGCGCTGTGACAGGCGCTGTGACAGGCGCTGTGACAGGCGCTGTGACAGGCGCTGTGACAGGCGCTGTGACAGGCGTTACCTTCACAGGTGAGGTCGACGATCTGGTCGTCTCGCGGCGATCTCGTGGTTTCGATGATGTTGCATTGGCTGAGGCTCTGGACGGTGCCGGTGCATCTGAAGGTCTTGTCTAAAAAGGGGTGTGGCCCGTTGGTGAAGCGCGGTGGGGAGGCGGGGCCCGTCGTCACGGCGCCGCAGCCCAGCTCCTTGCACGCCACCGCCGAATTTTCCGGCGTCCAACTGCTACTGCGAAACTTCTGCCACTGCCCCTCGAAATAAACCTCCAACCGACCAGAGCAGCGACTCGGACCGTCCTCAAGGCGGAGCTGTAGAGAACCTGAGGGGTCAGAGGGTCAGAGGAGAGGTCAGAGGGAGTCGGGGGGGTCAGAGGAGGGGTCAGAGGGTCAGAGGGAGTCGGGGGGGTCAGAAGGGGTCATACGGGAGCAGATGACGTAGGCTTGCTGGCTGCAGGGGAGGGGGTCAGTGGGGTCAGAGGGGGTCAGAGAGGTCAGAGATTCAGAGGGGGTCAGAGAGGATCAGTGGGGTCAGAGGGGGTCAGTGGAGTCAGAGGGGTCTGGGGTCAGACGGGGTCAGAGGGAGTTAGTGGGGTCAGAGGGGGTCAGTGGGGTCAGAGGGGTCAGTGGGGTCAGAGGGAGTCAGTGGGGTCAGAGGGGGTCAGAGGGAGTCAGTGGGGTCAGAGGGGGTCAGTGGGGTCAGTGGGGTCATACCGGAGCAGATGACGTAGGCGTGCTGGCTGCAGGGGAGGGGGGTGGAGCTGTGTCTGGCTTTACAAAACCACAAAGACAAGTCGTGTTCAGAGCAGCTCACGTAATCCAAGAACGAAGAAGAGGAAGGGGAAGACAAAGAGGCACTTTGAAGTGAAGAACTGACCACCTGAAAGAGAAAGAGAGAGAGTTAACAGAGAGGAGGAGGGTACCCACACACACAGACACACACACAAACATACACACACTGACCTGTCCACACTGCAGTTGGGCGCACACTATGTCAAAGTTCGGTTTTTTTCCATTGAGTGGCACAAACTGGAGACTGCTCCTCCTGCTGCTTCACCTGAACCGTCCCATAACAGACACTGGGCTTCCCTTTGGAGGTGAGGAGAACACTCACACGTCCTGACAACACACAACACACTCTGAGAACAAGCACACGTCCTGACAACACACAACACACTCTGACAACACACACACGTCCTGACAACACACAACACACTCTGAGAACACTCACACGTCCTGACAACACACAACACACTCTGAGAACACTCACACATCCTGACAACACACAACACACTCTGAGAACACTCACATGTCCTGACAACACACAACACACTCTGAGAACACTCACACGTCCTGACAACACACAACACACTCTGAGAACAAGCACACGTCCTGACAACACACAACACACTCTGACAACACACACACGTCCTGACAACATACAACACACTCTGAGAACACTCACACGTCCTGACAACACACAACACACTCTGAGAACACTCACACGTCCTGACAACACACAACACACTCTGAGAACACACACACGTCCTGACAACACACAACACACTCTGAGAACACTCACACGTCCTGACAACACACAACACACTCTGAGAACACTCACACGTCCTGACAACACACAATACACTCTGAGAACACGCACACGTCCTGACAACACAAAACACTCTGAGAACACGCACACGTCCTGACAATACACAACACACTCTGAGAACACGCACACGTCCTGACAACACACAACACACTCTGAGAACACTCACACGTCCTGACTACACACAACACACTCTGAGAACACGCACACGTCCCGACAACACAAAACACACAACACACTCTGAGAACACGCACAAGTCCTGACAGCACACAACACACTCTGAGAACACGCACACGTCCTGACAACACACAACACACTCTGAGAACACACACACGTCCCGACAACACAAAACACACAACACACTCTGAGAACACGCACACGTCCCGACAACACAAAACACACAACACACTCTGAGAACACGCACACGTCCTGACAACACAGAACACACTCTGAGAACACGCACACGTCCTGACAACACACAACACACTCTGAGAACACACACACGTCCTGACAACACACAACACACTCGGAGAACACGCACATGTCCTGACAACACACAACACACTCTGAGAAGACGCACACGTCCTGACAACACACAACACCTGTGTGTGTTGTTGTGCGTCTGTGTGTGTTGTTGTGCGTCTGTGTGTGTCTCTGTGTGTGTTGTTGTGCGTCTGTGTGTGTGTTGTTGTGCGTCTGTGTGTGTTGTTGTTGTGTGTGTGTGTTGTGCGTCTGTGTGTGTTGTCTGTGTGTGTTGTTGTGCGTCTGTGTGTGTGTTGTACGTCTGTGTGTGTTGTTGTGCGTCTGTGTGTGTTGTGTTGTGTCTGTGTGTGTTGTTGTGCGTCTGTGTGTGGTTGTTGTGCGTCTGTGTGTGTTGTTGTGCGTCTGTGTGTGGTTGTTGTGCGTCTGTTGTGTGTCTGTGTGTGTTGTTGTGCGTCTGTGTGTGGTTGTTGTGTGTCTGTGTGTGTTGTTGTGCGTCTGTATGTGGTTGTGGTACCGGAGCAGGTCAGGTGTGTGTGTGTTGTTGTGCGTCTGTGTGTGTTGTTGTGCGTCTGTGTGTGGTTGTTGTGCGTCTGTGTGTGTTGTTGTGCGTCTGTGTGTGGTTGTTGTGCGTCTGTGTGTGGTTGTGGTACCGGAGCAGGTCAGGTGTGTGTTGTTGTGCGTCTGTGTGTGGTTGTGGTACCGGAGCAGGTCAGGTGTGTGTTGTTGTGCGTCTGTGTGTGGTTGTGGTACCGGAGCAGGTCAGGTGTGTGTTGTTGTGCGTCTGTGTGTGTGTTGTTGTGCGTCTGTGTGTGTTGTTGTGCGTCTGTGTGTGGTTGTGGTACCGGAGCAGGTCAGGTGTGTGTTGTTGTGCGTCTGTGTGTGGTTGTTGTGCGTCTGTGTGTGTTGTTGTGCGTCTGTGTGTGTTGTTGTGCGTCTGTGTGTGGTTGTGGTACCGGAGCAGGTCAGGTGTGTGTTGTTGTGCGTCTGTGTGTGGTTGTGGTACCGGAGCAGGTCAGGTGTGTGTTGTTGTGCGTCTGTGTGTGGTTGTGGTACCGGAGCAGGTCAGGTGTGTGTTGTTGTGCGTCTGTGTGTGGTTGTGGTGTCAGGTCTGGTGTGTGTTGTTGTGCGTCTGTGTGTGGTTGTGGTACCGGAGCAGGTCAGGTGTGTGTTGTTGTGCGTCTGTGTGTGTGTTGTTGTGCGTCTGTGTGTGTGTTGTTGTGCGTCTGTGTGTGTTGTTGTTGTGCGTCTGTGTGTGTTGTTGTGCGTCTGTGTGTGTGGTTGTGGTACCGGAGCAGGTCAGTTGTGTGTGTTGTTGTGCGTCTGTGTGTGGTTGTGGTACCGGAGCAGGTCAGGTGTGTGTGTTGTGTGTGTGTTGTTGTGCGTCTGTGTGTGGTTGTTGTGCGTCTGTGTGTGTTGTTGTGCGTCTGTGTGTGTTGTTGTGCGTCTGTTGTGTGTGTGGTGTTGTTGTGCGTCTGTGTGTGTGTTGTTGTGCGTCTGTGTGTGTTGTTGTGCGTCTGTGTGTGGTTGTTGTGCGTCTGTGTGTGTTGTTGTGCGTCTGTGTGTGGTTGTTGTGCGTCTGTGTGTTGTTGTTGTGCGTCTGTGTGTGGTTGTTGTACCGGAGCAGGTCAGGTGTGTGTTGTTGTGCGTCTGTGTGTGTGTTGTTGTGCGTCTGTGTTGTGTGTGCAGGTCTGTGTGTGTTGTTGTGCGTCTGTGTGTGGTTGTGGTACGGAGCAGGTCAGGTGTGTGTTTGTTGTGCGTCTGTGTGTGGTTGTGGTACCGGAGCAGGTCAGGTGTGTGTTGTTGTGCGTCTGTGTGTGGTTGTGGTACCGGAGCAGGTCAGGTGTGTGTTGTTGTGCGTCTGTGTGTGGTTGTTGGTACCGAGCAGGTCAGGTGTGTGTTGTTGTGCGTCTGTGTGTGTGGTTTGTGGTACCGGAGCAGGTCAGGTGTGTGTTGTTGTGCGTCTGTGTGTGGTTGTGGTACCGGAGCAGGTCAGGTGTGTGTTGTTGTGCGTCTGTGTGTGGTTGTGGTACCGGAGCAGGTCAGGTGTGTGTTGTTGTGCGTCTGTGTGTGGTTGTGGTACCGGAGCAGGTCAGGTGTGTGTGTTGTGTGCGTCTGTTGTGTGTGTGTTGTTGTGCGTCTGTGTGTGTTGTTGTGCGTCTGTGTGTGTTGTTGTGCGTCTGTGTGTGGTTGTGGTACCGGAGCAGGTCAGGTGTGTGTTGTTGTGCGTCTGTGTGTGGTTGTGGTACCGGAGCAGGTCAGGTGTGTGTTGTTGTGCGTCTGTGTGTGTGTGTGTGTTGTGTACCGGAGCAGGTCAGGTGTGTGTTGTTGTGCGTCTGTGTGTGGTTGTGGTACCGGAGCAGGTCAGGTGTGTGTTGTTGTGCGTCTGTGTGTGGTTGTGGTACCGGAGCAGGTCAGGTGTGTGTTGTTGTGCGTCTGTGTGTGGTTGTGGTACCGGAGCAGGTCAGGTGTGTGTTGTTGTGCGTCTGTGTGTGGTTGTGGTACCGGAGCAGGTCAGGTGTGTGTTGTTGTGCGTCTGTGTGTGGTTGTGGTAGTCTCCACAGAACATTTGTTGACACCAGGTCTTCAGTCGCTCCTTGGTCTGGTTCTGGTTCTGGTCCAGGTTCTGGATCGGGCTCCAGGATCCTGAGACCTTCTGCTCCAGGATCCCAGAGCAAAGGTTCTGTCTGTTCCCCCGAAGACGAACCTCCTGGTGATCTGCAAAAGACAGGGTTTAGACCTGGTTCAGTCCTGGTTTAGTCCTGGTTTAGACCTGGTTCAGTACTGGTTTAGTCCTGGTTTAGACCTGGTTCAGTCCTGGTTTAGTCCTGGTTTAGACCTGGTTTAGACTGGTGGTTTAGTCCTGGTTTAGACCTGGTTTAGTCCTGGTTTAGTCCTGGTTTAGACCTGGTTAGTCCTGGTTTTAGACCTGGTTTAGTCCTGGTTTTAGTCCTGGTTTAGACCTGGTTTAGTCCTGGTTTAGTCCTGGTTTTAGACCTGGTTTAGTACCTGGTTTAGTCCTGGGTTTAGACCTGGTTTCAGTCCTGGTTTAGTCCTGGTTTAGACCTGGTTTCAGTCCTGGTTTAGTCCTGGTTTAGACCTGGTTTAGTCCTGGTTTAGACCTGGTTTAGTCCTGGTTTAGTCCTGGTTTTAGTCCTGGTTTAGTCCTGGTTTAGTCCTGGTTTAGTCCTGGTTTAGACCTGGTTTAGTCCTGGTTTAGTCCTGGTTTAGTCCTGGTTTAGACCTGGTTTAGTCTTAGTTTTAGTCCTGGTTTAGTCCTGGTTTAGTCCTGGTTTAGACCTGGTTTAGACCTGGTTTAGTCCTGGTCTAGTCCTGGTTTAGTCCTGGTTTAGTCCTGGTTTAGTCCTGGTTTAGTCCTGGTTTAGACCTGGTTTAGTCCTGGTTTAGACCTGGTTTTAGTCCTGGTTTAGTCCTGGTTAGGACCTGGTTTAGTCCTGGTTTAGTTTGACCTGGTTTAGACCTGGTTTAGTTTAGTCCTGGTTTAGTCCTGGTTTAGACCTGGTTTAGTCCTGGTTTAGTCCTGGTTTAGAGTCCTGGTTTAGTCCTGGTTTAGTCCTGGTTTAGAGTCCTGGTTTAGTCCTGGTTTAGACCTGGTTTAGTCCTGGTTTAGTCCTGGTTTAGTCCTGGTTTAGTCCTGGTTTAGTCCTGGTTTAGTCCTGGTTTAGACCTGGTTTAGTCCTGGTTTAGTCCTGGTTTAGTCCTGGTTTAGTCCTGGTTTAGTCCTGGTTTAGTCCTGGTTAGTCCTGGTTTAGTCCTGGTTTAGACCTGGTTTAGTCCTGGTTTAGTCCTGGTTTAGTCCTGGTTTAGTCCTGGTTAGTCCTGGTTAGTCCTGGTTTAGTCCTGGTTAGTCCTGGTTTTAGTCCTGGTTAGTCCTGGTTTAGTCCTGGTTTAGTCCTGGTTTAGTCCTGGTTTAGTCCTGGTTTAGTCCTGGTTTAGTCCTGGGTTTAGTTTAGTCCTGGTTTAGTCCTGGTTTAGTCCTGGTTAGTCCTAGTCCTGGTTTAGTCCTGGTTCTAGTCCTGGTTTAGTCCTGGTTTAGTCCTGGTTTAGTCCTGGTTTAGTCTGGTCTAGTCCTGGTCTAGTCCTGGTTTAGTCCTGGTCTAGTCCTGGTTTAGTCCTGGTTTAGTCCTAGTCTAGTCCTGGTTTAGTCCTGGTTTAGTCCTGGTTTAGTCCTGGTTTAGTCCTGGTTTAGTCCTGGTGGTTAGTCCTGGTCTAGTCCTGGTGGTCTAGTCCTGTTTAGTCTAGTCCTGGTCTAGTCCTGGTTTAGTCCTGGTTTAGTCCTGGTTAGTCCTAGTCCTGGTTTAGTCCTGGTTTAGTCCTGGTCCTGGTTTAGTCCTGGTAGTCCTGGTCTAGTCCTGGTCTAGTCCTGGTCTAGTCCTGGTTTAGTCCTGGTCTAGTCCTGGTTTAGTCCTGGTTTAGTCCTGGTCTAGTCCTGGTCTAGTCCTGGTCTAGTCCTGGTTTAGTCCTGGTTTAGTCCTAGTCTAGTCCTGGTTTAGTCCTGGTTTAGTCCTGGTCTAGTCCTGGTCTAGTCCTTAGTCTAGTCCTGGTCTAGTCCTGGTTTAGTCCTGGTTTAGTCCTGGTCTAGTCCTGGTTTAGTCCTGGTTAGTCCTGGTCTAGTCCTGGTTTAGTCCTGGTCCTTTAGTCCTGGTCTAGTCCTGGTCTAGTCCTGGTTAGTCCTGGTTTAGTCCTGGTTTAGTCCTGTCTAGTCTGGTTTAGTCCTGGTTTAGTCCTGGTCTAGTCCTGGTTTAGTCCTGGTCTAGTCCTGGTTTAGTCCTGGTTTAGTCCTGGTCTAGTCCTGGTTAGTCCTGGTTTAGTCCTGGTTTAGTCCTGGTCTAGTCCTGGTTAGTCCTGGTTTAGTCCTGGTTTAGTCCTGGTTTAGTCCTGGTTTAGTCCTGGTTAGTCCTGGTTTAGTCCTGGTCTGGTTTAGTCCTGGTTTAGTCCTGGTTTAGTCCTGGTTTAGTCCTGGTTTAGTCCTGGTTTAGTCCTGTTTAGTCCTGGTCTAGTCCTGGTCTAGTCCTGGTTTAGTCCTGGTGGTTAGTCCTGGTTTAGTCCTGGTTTAGTCCTGGTCTAGTCCTGTTAGTCCTTTAGTCCTGGTTCTAGTCCTGGTTTAGTCCTGGTTAGTCCTGGTCTAGTCCTGGTTTAGTCCTGGTCTAGTCCTGGTTTAGTCCTGGTTTAGTCCTGGTTTAGTCCTGGTCTAGTCCTGGTTTAGTCCTGGTTTAGTCCTGGTTTAGTCCTGGTCTAGTCCTGGTTAGTCCTGGTTTAGTCCTGGGTGGTTAGTCCTGGTTTAGTCCTGGTTTAGTCCTGGTCTAGTCCTGGTCTGGTTTAGTCCTGGTTTAGTCCTGGTCTAGTCCTGGTTTAGTCCTGGTTAGTCCTGGTCTAGTCCTGGTCTAGTCTGGTTTAGTCCTGGTTAGTCCTGGTTTAGTCCTGGTCTAGTCCTGGTTTAGTCCTGGTTTAGTCCTGGTTTAGTCCTGTCTAGTCCTGGTTTAGTCCTGGTCTAGTCCTGGTTTAGTCCTGGTTTAGTCCTGGTTTAGTCCTGGTCTAGTCCTGGTTTAGTCCTGGTTTAGTCCTGGTTAGTCCTGGTCTAGTCCTGGTCTAGTCCTGGTTTAGTCCTGGTTTAGTCCTGGTTTAGTCCTGGTTAGTCCTGGTTTAGTCTGGTTAGTCCTGGTCTAGTCCTGGTTTAGTCCTGGTTTAGTCCCTGGTCTAGTCCTGGTTTAGTCCTGGTTTAGTCCTGGTTTAGTCCTGGTTAGTCCTGGTTTAGTCCTGGTTAGTCCTGGTCTAGTCCTGGTTAGTCCTGGTTAGTCCTGGTTTAGTCCTGGTCTAGTCCTGTTTAGTCCTGGTTTAGTCCTGGTTTAGTCCTGGTTTAGTCCTGGTTTAGTCCTGGTCTAGTCCTGGTTTAGTCCTGGTCTAGTCCTGGTTAGTCCTGGTTTAGTCCTGGTTTAGTCCTGGTCTTACCGGTGCAGTAGACGTAGGCGGATGAGGAGCAGGTCCCTTTTTTCGGGGAGCACTGCCACAGGTTCTTTTCGTCACCCAAACATTTTACCGTGTATCCAGACCTGGACCCGGACCCAGACCCGGACCCGGACCCGGACCCAGACCCAGACCCGGACCCAGACCTGGACCCGGACCCAGACCCAGACCCTGGACCTGGACTCGGGTAAGATCCAGGGCGCGATTTCTTTCAGTTCACCACATCCCAAAGACCGACACAGAACCTTCCCCTCCAAGTCGTCTGAGAAAACAAGAGACAGAACCAGAACTGAACCAGGACTGAACCAGGACTAAACCAGGACTAAACCAGGACTAAACCAGGACTAAACCAGGACTAAACCAGGTCTAAACCAGGAAACCAGGACTAAACCAGGACTAAACCAGGACTAAACCAGGACTAAACCAGGACTAAACCAGGACTAAACCAGGACTAAACCAGGACTAGACCAGGACTAAACCAGGACTAAACCAGGACTAAACCAGGACTAGACCAGGACTAAACCAGGACTAAACCAGGACTAAACCAGGACTAAACCAGGACTAAACCAGGACTAAAACCAGGACTAAACCAGGACTAGACCAGGACTAAACCAGGACTAAACCAGGACTAGACCAGGACTAAACCAGGACTAAACCAGGACTAAACCAGGACTAGACCAGGACTAAACCAGGACTAAACCAGGACTAGACCAGGACTAGACCAGGACTAAACCAGGACTAAACCAGGACTAAACCAGGACTAAACCAGGACTAGACCAGGACTAAACCAGGACTAAACCAGGACTAAACCAGAACTGAACCAGAACTGAACCAAGACTAAACCAGGACTAAACCAGAACTGAACCAGAACTGAACCAGAACTGAACCAGAACTAAACCAGAACTAAACCAGGACTAAACCAGGACTAAACCAGGACTGAACCAGAACTGAACCAGGACTAAACCAGAACTGAACCAGAACTGAACCAGAACTGAACCAGAACTGAACCAGAACTAAACCAGGACTGAACCAGGACTAGACCAGGACTAAACCAGGACTGAACCAGAACTGAACCAGGACTAAAGCAGGACTAGATCAGGACTAAACCAGGACTGAACCAGAACTAGACCAGAACTAAACCAGGACTAAACCAGGACTAGACCAGAACTAAACCAGGACTAAACCAGGAATAAACCAGAACTAAACCAGAACTAAACCAGGACTAAACCAGGACTAAACCAGAACTAGACCAGGACTAAACCAGGACTAAACCAGAACTGAACCAGAACTGAACCAGGACTGAACCAGAACTGAACCAGGACTAAACCAGAACTGAACCAGGACTGAA